AGAACTCACAAGGTAGTGTGTGAAGCCCTGCATCGGCTGATGTTTGATGCTTACCTTGGTACCCTGCAAGATGAGGAACTAGAGTCAGCACATCATCTTCTTCATGAAATGCGTCAGTTATATGTCTTCCTTGGTTCAGATTTTGCTGATCAGTTGAGCAGTGAAGAGAATGGTGAGTTAATTCAACTTGAAGAGTCATACAAGAGGTACATTGAAGAGGCCTGCAAACACAGCAAAACGTTTGCCTTCTGGACGTCCTATATGTCTATGGTGCAATTTTTGTTGATGCTGATAGGAACCAGCAGAGAAGGCGACTGACAGTTACACCTTTCCAGTATTAGGAGTATGCTGCCTTGGTATTTTGCTTACGACAGAGTGAACTAGACCAGGTATGGGGCAGTGTACTGGCTCAAAATGTTTGCCTTGCCGACGACACATCCTCACCTCCACAATGGAATGATGATGAAACACTTTGCAGTTCAGATGCAAGATGAATATGGGTTTTCTCAGATTCACTGCGATCAACTAATAGAGGAGACTTGCAACAGGGACTCCAAGTCCATAGGAGGACTGACCTGGTTTACCAGAAAGAAGGGGGCAGTTCAGCGATGGCACTTGACTTGGCATCAGCTTTCGGGTATAACTCACAAATGTCAGGAAATGGCTGGGAAAACACCTGGTAGAGGAAGAATGCGCAAGGATCTTGATGTGTCGCGCAATCAACACGATGAGAAGGCTACACAGGGGGTCATGGAGACCATCTCAAACATGGTAAATCCTTTTGAATGTGAAGGCAGCGACTTGATTCATATCTCATCTGGTGTTGTGGCAAATGATACAGTGTGTGAGGACTTGATGAAAGCCAAGGGCCTTGGAGAGGACAAATGTGTACAGTTCATCAAAGAGCGGTTGCAGAGTGACCAAGTGGGGTTCTTTGACGCATTGAAGAAGAACAAGTTGCTTACATTCTCAAATCAGGGCAAAGAAGCGACCCGGCGAGTCAATAACAAACAAGGAGTATTGAAGGCGAACCGTGATCTCTTTGCTCGTCTGCTAGTAATAAGCCAAGTAAGGAATGCCGATATGAGAGAGGTGTTGTCTTACAGTCTTGGGCCTGTACCTCATCCTATAGCCACAGAGAGTGGCCATCTGTACAAGAACTCCAAGTCTGAAAATGTACCAGAGTTAGAGTGTCGTCATGAAGAGGCAGACACCCGGATGTTTCTGCACTGTGCTTTCATCTCCTCTCAGGCTTCACCCAACAGCCCTAGGAAGAGCATTATCAAAAGTCCCGACACTGATGTTTTCATTGTGGCTCTGCATCACAGCAGTTTTATTGAGTCACCCTTACTTTTTTTCACACTGGCAGTGGAAAGAATTTGCGCACAGTCAACATCTCACAAGTGAGCCATGTTCTGGGAGCAGAGACAACACAAAAACTGATCGGTCTCACTGTTTGACTGGCTGCGACTCCACAAGTGGATTCCAGGGCAAAGGAAAGACAACAACAGCTAAATTGGCATTAAAGGTATAAATATATGTGTACAACATTTGCTTTGCAAAAGTTTTCAGAAATGAGTGGATTTTAGGGTAAGTTTTAAAAAGAAAATATTGTTAACTGTCATCTCAGGAGCTGAAGAGTTTGTCTGCCATCTGTACAGACAGCTTGATTGTGCCTATATGAACATTGCCAGGTATGTGTTTAAAATGCATTAGTTTTGTCAAATTCAAGCACACAGAAAGCAGTACAGCCTTCTTGTTGAAAGACCATAACCAGATGCTACATGTCAGTTCAGAGTAGTGTGTGGATAAAGAGTGCTTTATATTCATGTTTTGTTTTACTACAACTTGAGGACAGTATTTCTTCGCTAAATTAAGTCACAGACCAATGAACTGCTCCACAAAAATATCCACAAAAAAAACAATTCGGTCATATAAAAGTTTTTTTTTTAAGTTAAAAGTTAAAACATACAGTGCCTGTTGCACATTAAGAAAAAGTAATTCACAATTAAAAAATACTGTCATTTAAGAAAGAGATTTTTCTTGTAATTTGACAACTTGCAGATACAACATGTTCCAGATGGGCACTGTGATGGAGTCGTCGATGCCGCCAAATAAGGATGCCTTGCACCTGCATGTAAAGAGGGCCAATTACCAGGCAGCCATTTACAAGCGGGCCCTGGATGCACGTCCTGAAGTGCGGTCTCCACACGGAAGAGATTGGAAGGTCATCGGCGATGACATCGGTATCCACTGGATGGATCGTCCCCCTGCCCCAGAACGTGCCATGGAATTTTCCCATTGTTCTTGTAGACAAAGTCAATGTACAAAAGGCAAGTGTAGCTGTCTCGAAAACAAACTGCCATGCACAGACTTGTGCAAGTGCACAAACTGTGAAAACATTCCAGGTGAAGAGCAGCACACTTCACCCGAAAGTGATGATTCAAATATTGAGGAGTAAATTAACCATCACGTACATGTTCGGCTATCTAAATATGGAATAAGATTGTCACTTCAGAAACGTTAAATCACACATTCTGCTTCCAATCCCACTTAAATATTTCGAAATATGAATCCATAGGACTCGTTTTTAAATAACTTACATTGTTATAGGGACGTACTCGCCTGAAAAAAAACCCGTTGATTTTGTGGCGGACGTTTTCCAGTTGCAGGTTCAGCAAGGGGATGGGAAATAATTTTACCGTGTTTTCTTTGGTGACAATCTTTTTTTTGTGGTAATTTGTAAGGGCTTAAAACAGGTTATTCCTCTTCGGTAATATTCATGCTAACAGTCTTATTTGTTGTTGATCAAATAGACTCTATTAAGACATCCTTGAGAGCTTCTTGTTACTGTAATTCCTTTGGGGGGGGGGTGGATGGGTGCAGAAGATGTCGTTTACTGAGAATTGTCCTCCAAGATGCTATGCAAAATGCCCATTCTCTAGTGTAGCGGCCAAACTCAGATAGATTTCTTATTTTTGTTTTGCCAAGTGAGGGCGCTGTTGCGGGAATACGGGAGCTAAGCAAAAGCAACATGGCTTCAGCTCAATCATGTCAATGACGACAGAATTTGCAACCTGTGGAATTCTTCGCCCAAAGCATTAACTGGCCAAGGTTTATTAAACGGTTGGTTACTCTTAAATAATTTATATCAATGATTCAGTAATTAATGTGAGATTTAGTGATATTTTGTAAGCCTAAAAGTTGTACAAATGTACATGTATTTTCCACGCATGTTATTTTGGATCTTGTTATTAAGCACATGTACAAGTATCATACAGGGTGTACATAAACCCTTTTTGCATTTAGATAAACTCATCTGTCCTTGTACATTGTAGGGGCCTACACACATGTGTACGTGTATTTAGCCTTTAGTTTGGACATTTGTGTGCAAGTATTAAGAGTACATGTACATGTAGGTGATATGTAATTTGAGCTGATTCTGTTAATTAGGTTACACAAACTCTTGATACATGTAATTTCTTGTAACACATACATTTTATTTTCCATTTTATTTATTGTAGTCAATCTGTGCCTATACCTGAGCCTGACAAGTGTACGACTACCAAAACTGTCAGAAGTTGTACAAGACAATAAAATCTTCTGGATCTGCGCACAGCATATTTTCGTCAGTAATCTTTGGCAGATTCATCATTGACGTTTACTACCAGGATGGATAAAGGGGCAGAAGACCTTACCACGCAAGGAGCTACATGTCATGACCATGAGAAAGTTGACATGGACAGTGAAGATACTGCTTTACATGAATCATCGAGGGCAAGAATGCACACAGAAAAGGGACTTGCCTACCAAAAGGACATGAAAGCAAAGCGCGTGTCACAGCTGTTCAGGCAAATAAAGTCGAAAACTGAAAGGCTTGAACTTCTCATGAATGAAAAGCATGACCAAGGTGAAGTACGCGCTGAATATAAGGAATGGATGTCAACTTACGAGGACTTGCTCAAAGAGAACAGCGAGTACTGTACTTTGCTGTCCAAGGAAGAATTACATGAGTATCTGGACAACAGTTGGGACAGTAGAGATACCTACCTGAAGAACTTCAAGGTGTATTACTCCAACTGGGAAACGGTCCGGTCACAAAAGGAGCAAGATGTCGGAGTTCCACGCCAACGCCATGGCACCACTGACAGCGAAAACCTGACAAGCATATCACGCATCAGTGGAAGGGGCTGAAGAGCTTCCATTGCCAGCGCTGTAGCATCGGCACGACTCAAGGCGGAGCAGGAGAAAGCGGCTTTGGAGGCAAGAATGAAGGCACTCAAGAGGAGACGAGAGATAGAGATGGCCAAGTTGAAATTGAGGTTGGAAGAAGAGGAGCTGAATTTGACCACAGAACTGGACATTGTTCATGCCAAGGAAAGAGTTTTGGACAGTTTTGAATTACAATCAAATGCTGTTTCAATTAGAGATTCAAATTCAGTAAAGCAGTTGAATAATGAAACTGTGTCCATAGTAGCACAACCCAATAACCAGTCACACTTGGTAGACCAGACAAATAGTGGTCAGTCTGCACTAAATGTGAATGCTCATAGTTTTACACCAGAAAGTCATAACCAAAGTAGTAGTGTACAAGTACATGGTAAACAAAGTTGTAATAGTTCATCATGCCATAGTGTACCAGTGCCATTGCATGTCAATAATGACCATTCTGTTTCAGCTCAAGGTGACAGGCACTGTGACAGCAACCGAAGTGAAACTGGCATGTCAGGTGACAACGCTCTTCTTGCAGTTGTCAGACAACTAAAAAGGCCTACTCCTGAGATCAAGCGGTTTAGTGGGGAACCAGTCGACTACCGGAAATTCATCCGGCAGTTCAACACTAAAGTGGCAGTACATACTGATAATGACGATGAGCGAATGAGCTACTGGAGCAGTTCACTACTGGAGAGGCATATAAAGTTGTCTCAGGTTTCAGCCATCTTCCTGCTGAGCAAGGATACCCTGCAGCTCTAAAAGAATTGGCATCTAGATATGGAGACATGCATCTCATGGCCCACTCCTTCATCAAGAAAGCACTCGATTGGCCATGTGTTCGTCCGGACAACCCGAAGGCACTTGATGACTTCTCAATTCTGCTGGTTGAGTGTGAAAATGCTGTAAAATGCATTCAAGCAGTGAAGGTCCTCGAGTACCCCGACAACATGAGGAAGTTGGTGGGTAAACTACCATTCTATCTTCATGACAGGTGGAGAAATGATGATCTACAGACCTCAGACCAAGGCGAGACTGTCCAATTTAGCCAACTGGTTAGATTTGTAAAGATGGAGGCAAAGAAGGTGATGGATCCCATGTACGGCAGAGAGGCCCTGAGCCAAGATGTAAAAGGCACAGGGGCAAAGGTCGTCACCAAGCACACCAATCGTTCAAGGGGCAGTTTTGCAACCGAGGTTTCAAGTGGCCAATCCGAGCAGACATGGCGTAACAGAGAAGGAGACAACAGGTCGACAGCAGTAAAGTCTGGCAATGAAGTGAAGAACGTGTGCATATATTGCACTGACACAGGCCATCATACTGACAAGTGCAAGCGTCTGTCCAGTTTGCCTCTGTCTGAAAGAACAGAGTTTGCAAAATCCAAAGGTCTATGTTACGGATGTCTCAAGCGTGGTCACCAGAGTAAGGAGTGTCGCCATAGATCCACTTGTGACATTTGCAAACGTCGACATCCAACCTGCCTCCACGATGAGAATAGAGTTCCCAAGCCCGAGTCAAAGCCTAATCCAGATGGCAGCAGTGGGCAGTGTGCAAACTTTGCAAAGCATGCAGGTCGTAATACAAGGGCCGGTCAGCAGGGTCAATGCACCATGGCAATTGTACCGGTTAAAGTCCGGCTGAGAGATGGTATCAAGGCTGTACCAACGTACGCATTCATGGATCCTGGAAGCACGGTTTCCTTCTGTAGTGAGAGTCTAGCCCGGCAGTTGGGAGCAAGTGGTCCATGTAAGTCCATTACATTGGACACCATGGGTAAGCCCTACTCCATGAAGACGTATCTCATCGACGGGCTGAAGGTCAGCGACTTAGACATGACGAACGAGATTGATCTTCCAGTCATGTATACCAAAGACACAATACCAGTTTCCCAGCACCATATTCCAAAGACTGATGACATCTCCAGGTGGGACCATCTTAAAGACATCAGCTTGCCTGAAATAGATGCAGACATTGGACTCCTGATTGGTAACAATGTGGCAGATGCCTACACCCTGTTTGATCTGAAAACTGGTCCAGCGGGTAGCCCTCATGCTGCAAGAACTATGCTCGGTTGGGTGGTTTGGAATGTGATGAGAGACGCTGAAGAAGTACAGAGTGACATAAGTTGTAGTTTCTCTGTAAACAAGGCTGAGGTCACAGCAGTAGCAGAGGTAGATCAGCTCAAGCATCTGGATAGATTAGTTAGAGAGACCATCAACATGGATTTCCCCGAGAGGCTCATTGACGACAAGAAAGAGCATTCTGAAGAAGACATCAGATTCTTGGCGTCGGTGAACAAGTCTATCACTCACAGAGATGGTCACTACTGTATTGGTCTACCTTTCAAAGAAGAAGATGTAAAGCTGACTGACAACAAGTCAATGGCATTGAAGCGCCTTGATAGTCTGAAACACAAACTACAGAGAAACAGTGAATTCGGCAGTGACTACAAAGAGTTCATGTTCAAGATTATGAGTGAAGGCTACGCCGAAAAGGTCCCACAAGAAGACCTACATCGGGCAGACGGCAGGGTGTGGTATATTCCGCATCATGCAGTTTATCATCCCCGCAAGCCCGATAAGATTAGAGTAGTCTTCGATTGTGCGGCTACATACCTGGGTTCATCTTTGAACAACGTCTAACTCCAAGGACCAGATCTCACAAACAGTCTGATGGGTGTACTCCTGAGATTCCGTCAAGAGGAGATAGCTATAATGGGAGACATAGCCACAATGTTTTTCCAAGTAAGAGTTCCCAGTGAAGACCGTGACTGCCTCCGATTCTTCTGGTGGCCAAATGCCAATCTCAAAGAGCAGCCAGTTGCCTATCGTCTGAAAGTCCACCCATTCGGAGCAGTGTCGTCACCGAGTTGCTCAAGCTTTGCTCTTAAGCAAACTGTTGAGGATAATGTTGGTGACTACGGAGAGGCTTCATGTGACATAGTGAAGAGAAGTTTCTATGTAGACGACTGTCTTGTCTAGGTTGGTACAGAACAAGAAGCTGCTCATTTGATCCAGAGTACCACAGCCCTGTGCAAACAAGGCGGCTTTCATCTGACAAAATGGGTGTCAAATAGCCATCAGGTTCTGCAGACGGTGGCAATAGAGGAACGGGCAAAAGACATCAGAGAGTTGTCGATGGAGAATCAGAACCTTCCCAATGAGCGAGCTCTGGGGGTTTATTGGTTTGTGGAATCAGACAGCTTGGGGTTCAAAGTCAGTTTGCCAAAGCAACCTGCAACACGACGAGGAATACTTTCTATCACGAGTTCAGTTTATGATCCTCTGGGTATCGCAGCTCCTTTCGTGTTGAAGGCCAAAATTCTCCTTCAGAGTCTTTGTCGACGAGACATAGGATGGGATGAAGAGATCCAGGGAGAAGATCTTAGAATCTGGAATCAGTGGCTCAGTGAGGTGAAAGACCTGGATCAGCTTAGGATCAGGAGATGCTACAAGCCTTCAGGGTTTGGGCAGGTTGTAAGCTGTCAGCTTCACATCTTTGCAGATGCTAGTGACGTAGGGTATGGTGTGGCTGCCTATCTCCGGCTTTGTGATGAATCTGGGCGCATCAGCTGTTCGCTTGTTACAGGCAAAGCAAGGGTTGCACCTTTAAAGAAGATGACTATCCCGCGTATGGAGTTGACAGCAGCAACCATCGCAGTTAGACTTGGCAAAGTGCTTACTCAAGAGCTGGACTGCGACATACACGGCACCTACTACTGGACAGACAGTATGACGGTATTGCGGTACCTCGCAAACGAGAGTTGTCGCTTCCAGACCTTTGTTGCAAATCGCATTGCAATAATCAGAGATGCCTCTTGCTTGCAGCAGTGGAAGTACGTGAATACCAAATTCAACCCTGCTGATTGCGCAACACGTGGTCAGTCAGTGAAAAGGTTTCTTCAGTGCTCCATGTGGTTTGAGGGTCCAGGCTTCCTGTCTCAGCCAGAAACAGAATGGCCTCAGCAAGATGCCGATCTTACCAAGCTACCAGATAATGATGCTGAGGTGAAGAAGACTGTGCTGATGGCAGCAGAGACACCTATCAGTCCGGTTGACAGACTTCTGGAGCACTATTCAGATTGGACCAGGCTGAAACGGGCAGTTGCTTGGATATTGGTTGTGATGAAGCGCCTCCAAGATAGAGTAGCTGCAAGCGAGAGGTTGAAACAGGAGCCAGCACAGCAAGAGTTAGAACAGCAAGAACCCAATGCGTTGCACCGTTCACAGAAGCTCGAATCAGAGCAGAGCAGAGTTAAGCAAACTCTTTCATCAGGTGACAGAGAAAGTCTTAACCATACTCGACTTACCACAGAGAACCTTGAGGCTGCTGAGAGGGTTTTAGTGTACCATGTCCAGCAGAAACATTGGAAGGACGAAATCAAATTGCTCAACGAGAAGGAGAGGGAAAACCATCCTCGGTAGTCAAAAAGTCTTCTTCATTGAGAAAGCTTGATCCTAAGCTGGTAGATGGACTTCTACGTGTTGGTGGTCGGATTGGTAGAGCAGATCTCGACTTTGAGTCCAGGCACCAGGTACTGATGCCAAGAGACTCACCTGTCTCCAGGCTTATTCTTCAGCATATACACAAGTCAGTTGGACACTTGGGCAAAAATTCCATCCTAGCAGAGCTTCGACGACATTACTGGATAATTGGAGCACCTTCTATCATCAAGGGTATCGTCTCGAGGTGTGTCACTTGCAGGAGATACCAAGCCCCGGCTGAGCAGCAGAAAATGGCCAGTCTGCCACGAGAGCGACTTGCGTTGAATGAACCTCCATTCAGCAAGGTTGGAATGGATTATTTTGGTCCCTTTGAGGTGAAACGTTGTAGAAGTATGGTGAAGAGGTACGGGGTCATATTCACTTGTTTGACTTCGCGAGCTGTCCACTTGGAGTTAGCGCATTCACTTGACACGGATTCATGCATCAATGCAATCCGCAGATTCAGTGCCCGTCGTGGATCATTAAAGAGCATTCTCTCCGACAATGGAACCAATTTGGTTGGCGCAGAACGTGAGATGCGTGAGCAGATGAGAACCTGGAACCAACAGAAAATCCATGACAACTTGCTACAGAAGGGCATATCCTGGCAATTTAATCCTCCAGCAGGATCACATTTTGGAGGAATATGGGAGCGTTTGATTAGAAGCGTCAGGAAGATCCTCTACTCTCTGATGCGAGAACAGCATGTTCATCTGAGTGATGAAGCTCTCCAAACTTTGTTGTGTGAGGTAGAAGCTATCATGAATGGACGACCACTTACCGAATGCCCTAACAGTCCCAACGACCTAGATGTCCTGACTCCGAATCATCTGCTTCTTCAACGGTCGGGCGAGAGTCTGCCTCCTGGGTTGTTTGACAAGCATGATAAATATCCTGTTAAGCAGTGGCGACAAGTTCAGTATTTCGCAGACCTCTTTTGGAACAGATGGTCGAAGGAGTACCTGCCTATGCTTCAAGAAAGGCAAAAATGGACCCACCCCAAGCGGAATGTGACTGTGGGAGACATTGTGTTGGTGGTTGACTCTTCGCCAAGAAACTCATGGGCGCTTGGCAGAGTACTTGAAGTTGTCAAGGACAAGAACGGATTTGTTAGAAGTGTCAAGTTGAAGACAAAAACTTCTACTTTAGTTCGCCCTGTAACAAAGCTATGTCTTCTAGTTGAAGGCAGTGTTGAGTAGTTGTCAGTATTTACAGACATATTGTTATGCGTTGTATCCACCAAGATTTCAAGTGTTAGTTTAAAGATAATAGTAAAGTTTGACCTTGTTTATTGGTATTATGTAATTGCTTATTGATTAATAACCAATTAGAGGGCCGGTATGTAGCGGCCAAACTCAGATAGATTTCTTATTTTTGTTTTGCCAAGTGAGGGCGCTGTTGCGGGAATACGGGAGCTAAGCAAAAGCAACATGGCTTCAGCTCAATCATGTCAATGACGACAGAATTTGCAACCTGTGGAATTCTTCGCCCAAAGCATTAACTGGCCAAGGTTTATTAAACGGTTGGTTACTCTTAAATAATTTATATCAATGATTCAGTAATTAATGTGAGATTTAGTGATATTTTGTAAGCCTAAAAGTTGTACAAATGTACATGTATTTTCCACGCATGTTATTTTGGATCTTGCTATTAAGCACATGTACAAGTATCATACAGGGTGTACATAAACCCTTCTTGCATTTAGATAAACTCATCTGTCCTTGTACATTGTAGGGGCCTACACACATGTGTACGTGTATTTAGCCTTTAGTTTGGACATTTGTGTGCAAGTATTTAGAGTACATGTACATGTAGGTGATATGTAATTTGAGCTGATTCTGTTAATTAGGTTACACAAACTCTTGATACATGTAATTTCTTGTAACACATACATTTTATTTTCCATTTTATTTATTGTAGTCAATCTGTGCCTATACCTGAGCCTGACAAGTGTACGACTACCAAAACTGTCAGAGGTTGTACAAGACAATAAAATCTTCTGGATCTGCGCACAGCATATTTTCGTCAGTAATCTTTGGCAGATTCATCTAGGTTGATGCCTTTGTGCATGGAGAATTGTTTCATATTTTATACTAGATATATTCACAAATCCTCTTATACATTGAACCATGTTCTCAACTGCAGTTCTGGTTTCTTTGAATGTTTATGACATTTTTCGTCCTTCAATCTTTCAAATGATTTGAAATGTAGACAACGGAATTGAATTTGCCATTGAAAGATTCAAGTCTGTTCACCATTTTTGCAATGACTAACCTTTATTGAGATACGAAGTTCTGGTCTTACCTTGACTGGTTTCGGTCTTACCTTCATGGAAGGACACAGGTAACTAAAATTGGGAATGTCTTATCGAACAAATCTGATGCTATTAATTTTGGAGTCCCACAATGAACTTTCTTGGGCCCATTATTATTTTCCATATTTATTAATGATATCACGTCAGTGACTGAGCATACTAAATTTGTCTTTTGTGCTGATGACACTTCTATTTTTTACTCAAGTAAAGATATTCATCAGATCAACTTGTATCCAGAAAATATCAAACTGGCTCAATGACAAGAGATTAAAACTGAATACTATCAGGTCCAAAAGCATGTTGATTCGTTCAGCCCAAAAACGTGCAAGATGTGAACATCCTAATATTGATACTTATTTTTTTTTTGGGGGGGGGGGTATTATACTTTTTGCTTTTGCCAATGACAGTTATTATTTCTCAAGTATTTTTAATTACCATTTACCGTATTGTTTTTTGTACGAATAAAATGCATCAAAGGCTGAAAATATAAACCCTGTGGTCATGTTAATTTTTTTTCTATTCAGACTATATTCATTCGTATTTGTGTCGAACCCTCCGTTTAATTTTATTACATCTTAAGTCAGAAATACGCTGTAGTTTTAACCAAAACGAAAATTATACTCTAGTAATCAAAAATACCCTATTAAGAAGTTCAGTAAAGAACAATATATGTATTTTAAATGAAAATTTCAACAAAAGGAGGAAACATTTACACTGATGCTGGGAAAGGGTATTTAGAATCTTCCATGAATTTCAATGGGATGGAAAATTTGATATTTAAATTAATTGTTGGAACATTAAAAGTCACCCCAAGTCCCCTTTTATCGAGTCTTGGCTCTGTAGAGACCCTTTTTAGCAAGCAACAGCAATTAAAACAATCTTTCCCATTGAAAATGTGCACAGTTGTCCATTCCTGGTCAGTAGAGGGCGCCCTCTTTTTTTTGAAATGCTGATTAAAATGCAAATATTGAAATGATTGGCCACTTTGGGATTGTGGATCCATATGGTCTCAGCTAATAACCTGCAAAAATTTACTTAGTTCTGAGAGGTGCGCCACGAAAATCACTTTCTGGGCGTTTTGCAGCCATGCCCCGTGGTCTACGAGTCTTGCGCGTCTTTTGAAACCAAACACATACAACCACGGGTTGCATCGCAGCAAAAAATTTCCGGCGCTATGCGCCGTCAAAACTGAACTTCCCCATACACGTAGTGTACACAAATCAGAATAACCATTCATGCATATAAATAATTAATTAGCCATAATTCCAAAACCCTTTGACCTATAGTTATGAAATATCTTGTGTATGTTTATGATAAGTTGTTTTATGCATGTATTGAATTTCATAATATTTCGTCATTCAGTGGGCGAGATCTTGGGGGCGTGGAATCCTCCCCCGCCCGGTTGTGAGATGGTCAAATAACCCGGCCCTTTTAGGGTTAACCCCATTTGAATCGGGGGCCAAAGTATTTAGGGGGTACTGAGGACCAGGAGGGGAACATTGTGCACCTGAATAAGCCATGATGTGAAAAGTGTTTAATGCCCTCATGTGATGAGTGGAGATTTGACATAAAGCAAAAGTGTTAATTTTATTCAAGTTTTTGTTTGAAAAAAGGAGGGGTTGATAATGATACCGAATGACCAGGCTGCGTCACCTTTTTTAAAAAGAAAAAAACGAGAAACAAACAGTCATCTTGATTGTAATATCCTTAATATAGTTTCCTGAAGTTCTTGGATCAAAAGAAATGTCCACTGACTGTTTTCTTTGGAGAGTTTGTATCACGTTTTCTGGTCATTGTGAACCTCTGAATAATCACAAAAAAATTATTGGATCTTTCTGAGAAGAACAACAAAAGAAATAGTTCAAACTAGAGTCAAGGCATTTGTTGAGTTACAAACGCAGATAAGCCGGGCCGACAACTAATTCATTAGACACAGCCCAGTTAAGTTATGAATAATTTTATGTCAGAACAAAGGATCACGAAAATTTAAACTTTCCGGTACATCCGATGATTTTGTTTAAAAATTAAAATGAATCAAATTTCAGTACACATTTTATGTACACGTACAAATAATTTCTGGTTTGATAAGGTTCTTTAGTCCAAAAAAGGGAAAGTTAATACTGATTTAGTTCGGAGAGGACATATGTTGATTTTGAAGTTAAAATATCGTATGAAAATACGGAAAATATTAGTGTCTGTATAAATAACACCTTACTTCCGGTTAAATGACGTCACAGCAATAAAGATGGAAGGGTCAACATTGTAACGGATATCATTATTGGGCTACAAACAAAGTCATAAGAGAGGGATCAAATGATAGAATTAAAAAAAAATAATCATTTTCAAATTCTCCCAACAGTAACTTCTGGTCTGATGACGTCATCATTTTAAAACCTTGCAAAGTTATATGAGGTTGATAAAAAAAAATAATAGGGGCGATTTGGTTAAATTTGGACCAATGGTTAAAAAAAAAGCCGTATGTGATTTACCGCTAGAGGGCGCCATTTTAAATTATGACGTCATAATAATATTTGTGTGTCCTTTATATTCCGTTCTAACAACTTCCATAATTTATTTGCTCATAGTAAAGAGCTTCCGCTTTCCAGTTATATTCAATTTTTATTTTACTTCCGGTAACACCTGAATGTTTTTTAACATCTTTGGACGGGGGGTTCAAGTTAACACCAGTTTTTATCATAATCCCGTAAATCGTTTGGAAGAAATTCGGTTCGTTTTGATTTTGAGGCTTCCGTATGTATTTTCGAATTACCTAACTTTGACCTTCCGGTTGACCCGGAAGTAAAAATCAAACGAGTTCACGTACAAGACAAACAATTTACGGAATTAATGGTCTATCTGTTTGCAAGGTTGGAACATGATTGATCATTTTGTTCAAGAGTTATAGGTTAAAGAAGATCGTCATTTTTACAACGAAAATCGCTTGTAATTTGACACCTAATGACGTCATCATGACGTCAGAGTAAAATGCACAACTAGGGATGAGTGTCGATATATGTTGAAATTTACAAGTTCATACCATATACTGTTTAGGATAAACCCCACGGAGAAGTATTGTCCGGGAAAAAAAGGAGAGAAAGAAAGAAAGAAGATTTATGAGAACAATTCCAGACAAGTGGTCGGGTTGTGCTCGACCACCCAATCAATTTCTTAACTCAAGTTTAATTCGATCAGGGTTCTGGGAAATTGGGCTTTTTTAAGGTCAATGTTAGTTTTCTGCTGGCAGAAAACCAAAATTTTAAAACTTAATTATATGAATTGGCTTCTTTAATTACAATCGACGAAAACTTACCTGGGCAAAGTGGTTTTTCAAGTTTCCGTGACCCAGTTCCGATCTGATTTTTGACTTGACAGCTGACCTCTGTGCAGTAATTGCCATCGACACTGAATGGCATGGTTTTACCCGTAGGCGCGCTAGGCTTCGTGCCATTTAGAATGATGTAATACTCAATGTGTCTGGGTGGATTGGCATCTGCGTCACAAGTGATGATTCTGTTCCTGTATGTCAGGGAAGTTACTACTGGAGAAGCTGTCAAAAGAAAAAAACATTTAATTATATCAATTACAACTTCTCAACATTTTAGCCTTCTATGTAGCGGCCAATAAATATTTTTAAACTGATCGAAATAAAAAACAGAGCGCCTGATGTCTTGATCCCTGTAACAGATTTTTCGAAAGCCTTTGCGCAAGATACTATTGCGATTGAAACGACATACCGTCTAACATTTTGGATTTGTATACGTACATTTAGGTTGAAGGTAATGTACAACATATGCAAACATAATAAATCTTCCAATTATTATTAAAAAAATGTTCTAGACTGAAAATGAATAATAGTGTAAAGCGTCCTGTAAAATCATGGCACCT